GCTCAGATCAGGCATGCGGACCCATAACTATGAAAAAGTAATTCTCAAAGTCCGCCAAGATGACAAGTGCCGAATTTGCCAATCTCAATCGGAAACCATCGATCATTTAATTTCCGGTTGTCCGATACTGGCAAAACATGAATACTTAGAAAGGCACAATAAAATATGTCAATATCTCCATTGGAGTATATGCCGAGAATATGGAATGGATGGATTACCCAAGGAGTGGTACAACCACATTCCAAGCCCGGTTACGACAGTAGGTCCATGCACAGTTCTATATGATCAACAAATCCACACTGATAGAACTGTGCCAGCTAACAAACCGGATATCATACTCAGGCATAATGGGGAAAAATGGTGTAAGTTAATTGAGGTATCCGTGCCGGCAGAAAAAAACACCACAGCCAAAGAAGCAGACAAAAGGCTGAAATACAGAAATTTGGAAATTGAAATAACCAGGATGTGGGGAACAAAAACTGAAACGATTCCGGTCATCGTGGGAGCATTGGGAGCCATGCCACATTCAATAAAAGGAAATTTAAAGAAGATTATGAAGAACCTAAAAGAAGAAATCATCCAGGAAATCGCACTATGTGGGACGGCCCACATTCTTCGGAAAATACTATAAATAGCACCACCGAAATTCGAGTATTTGTCCCTAAGGAATCGGGTAGAGACCTGGGATAAATGCTTAAAAACCCCGACAAATAAGAGCCTTGTCGTGTTTAAGAGTGACCATAATAATAATAATAATAATAATGATAATAATAATAATAATAATAATAATAATAATAATAATGATAATAATAATAATGATAATAATGATAATAAAAATGAAAAGATAAATTGCGTAACGTTTTCTCTCTCTCTCTCTGTCTCGAAAAACAACAAAATAATAAAAAATTTTAACCTTTTTGAACTTTTATTATTATTATTATTATGACTATTTTTTTTTTTTAAAGTTTATAATCTGAAAAGAAAAATTTATTTATTTATTTATTTATTTAAATCGTAAATTATAAGGCGCGACGTGACGTTTGATTTTTTTTTAATAAATTAATTTTCCGAGAATTTTTTATTTTTTCAATAATTAATTAATTAATCAACGTAATTAATTTCAAAAAAAAATTATTACTATTTTTTTTTGTGCGCATGCGCAATTTTTCCCCTACGTGAAAATTATTTAAACAAAAAATTTTTCGAATATTATAATCATCGATGATCGAACAACTATCGACAAATTATCGATTTTTTTTTTTTTTTAAATAAAAATCCATTTAATAAAATAATAAGGTCTAAATGTTTCGCTTATGAAAAATTTCCCCGATCATAATAATAATAATAATAATAATTGTTTAATGAAAATTGAGAACCGGGGAACTGGGGGAGGAACGAGGGGAGGGAGAAACGAAGGGGAGTGGGTGGGTGGGTTTGTTTGTATTACGTTAAACACGTACGAAAAAAAAATGGTTGCAACTTTTTTTTTTTTTTTTTTTTTACAGAGATTTGATTCTCATCGTATTATTATTATTATTATTATTATTTACATAAATATTAAAAAAAAAACAATTCGTATAAAATTAATATTCATTCACGATTTAAATATAATTAATAAATTAAAAAATTTTTTTTTTTTCTCTCTCTCTCTCTCTTTCCCCCCATACTTCGCTTACGTAAATATATATATAACTGTATAACACGAATAAAATATTGATAAAATATATAATAATAATAATAATAATAATAATAATAATAATAATAATAATAATAATAATAATAATAAAAATAATAAAATGATTCAATCCATCACAATGTTTTGTTGTTGTTGTTGTTGTAAATGTAAAAAAATAATTAATTTGTATGTTTGTTTATGTTTATGTTTTATTGTTGTTGTTGTTGTGCGATTTGGTTGACGCGCGTGTGCGTGTGCGCGTGTAAACATCAACTCCCATCACCTTTTTCTCCTTCTTTTTCTTCTTCTTTTATTTCCGTTTTCAAATGATTTTTCTCGTGGGTTTTCAAATGTATACCCAAACCGAATTTGGATGCTAATTTCCTACCGCAAAAATCGCACGGAAACCGTCTTTCTCTCGCGTGCACGGATAAAACGTGTCTTTCCAATTTGTTCTTATACAAGAAACCCTTGTTGCAAACTTTACACACGTGCGGTCTCACCGGCCTGTGAATTATTTGATGAGAAGACAATTTCAATTTACTATCGAAGGATTTACCACACGTTTCGCAATGAAAACATTTGACTCCCCCCGTTTTATGTATGTTTTTATGCCTGTAATGATTTCCGCTTGTTTTCGATGCGAAACCGCATACGTTGCAAACGTATTTTCTCTCCGACGAATGTGACGTCATGTGAGCCATTAAAATTGCCGATAAGCTAAAACTCCGTCCGCATACGTTGCAAAGATACGGTTTTTCATCCGTGTGCTTGCAACGTATGTGAGCTTTCAATGCCGAATCGCAATTGAAATCCCGTCCGCATTCCTTACAATTATACACTTTCAAATGCATTAATTTGTGCCTGCGTAAACTCGTTTGAGATATGAAATTTTCTTTACCGCACACGTCGCACGAATATGGTCTCTCGCCCGTGTGCTTTCTTTCGTGTACGACTAAAAGGCCCCATGCGGGAAATTGACGATCGCAGTGACTGCAGGGATAAGGTTGTATCACTTTGGTATTGTGAACCATCTTACAATGATTTCTAAGTTCTTCCCTATTCGAATATTCTTCTTTACATAAATGACATTTAAAAACGGCAAATGCATCTATGTTACCTTTTAATTCTTCCATTCCATCCTTGTCATTGTCGCTTTTCAAATTGACATCATTTAAATTATGCATTTTAGTTTGATGTTCTATCAATTCTACAAAACGACTAAATTTTTGATGACATACTAAACATAATGGTTTCGCTTTGGGTGCTCTACCTCTAGCATTCGGTTTGGAAAGAACATCTTTTTTAAATCTACTATTCGAATTCTTCCTTTCTTTTTTCTTTTTTAATTTCAAAGTTATTTCTATTAATGGTTTATCATCTGATTCAGAAAATATTTCATCCGACGATGAATCTAATTTACATAATGCAGCAGAATTTTCATTTTCCGATTTGACATTTTCCACGTAAGTCACAGTTGAATTATTTTCATCATCAGTCTTATAATTACTTATCTGTGAATGACAATTGTAAATTTATTATTTAAAACAATTTTGTAAGTAAAAATGAATCCAATTCAAATCTTTCGATCTTACCTTATCATTTTTGCTAATTTGCAATTGTGAATTATGAGATAACTGTTGTCTTAAAATAACATCAGATTCCTTACAGGTATTTTTAAATTCGTAATAATCGTTAATTTTTTTAAAACATTCGTTACATACATTTTGTGGCAAGCCATCATTTTGAGAAACCTGAATTACAAAACAAAATAAAAAAAACGTTTACATGTTAATTTTAATTAAATGATTAAATAAACATTTTTTATTTTAAATAATGTGTTTGATTTTTCCTATCTTGGTGTTGATATTATTTTATTTATATGTAAATATTCTTCTTTTTTTTTTTTTTTTTTGACTTACTTCTAAAGTAATGCATTCTTTTATTTTACTTATTATGAGCGAATCATCGTCGACATTATTTTCGAAAATGTGAACTATATCAACGTTCTGACAAAGGCAAAACCTGCATATTTTATCAAAGTGAAATAACAGTAGTCTTCTTTCATTCGATTCCCCCATGTTTGGGAAATTAATAATAAAAAATGTCGGACGATGATCAGAAAACAACGAACTGGCGACAAAATTCCCTTTGAAAAAAGAAAACGGCGGTTTAAAATGGCGAATACGTTTAAATTTATGATAAATATTAAATTATATAATATGCAAACCGTGAAAAATAATTAATTTTTAAAAAAAATGAGCATCATTTACTGCGTATAAATTAATTTCGAATTATTTCGTAAGTCAAAAATAAAATTTATTAAAAAAAAAAAAATGGGGGGGGGGGGGTTAAAATAAATTGGTGTGGAAATTTTTTTGTGATTTTTTCAAATTCGTCGTTTTTTTGTTTTTTTTCTCACGTTTCTCCTTGTGAGAAATATTTTTTTTGACAGGTCTATTTTTCCATCTATTACTATCTACAATTTCTTTATATTTTTTCTTTTGATAACTTTTCAATTCTGCATCTGCTAATAATTCATCGACTATCGTTTTCTTCCTTTTAGATTTAGCTATTCTTCCACAATAGAAATCGGCTGCATTTTCAACGACAGTTCCTACCTATTTAATAAATATAATCATTACAATCAAACTTATTATTTATAAAAAATTTCCTAAATAAAAATTAAATACTCACTTGAAAATATTTAGAAATATTTTTTACATCATTTTTTTTATAAAAATGATTTTTATCTAAAATCGATCTCATTTTTAATACTTCAATATCGTTTTTTATTTCATCAGTGATTTCGGTTGCAGGCATGTTGTACCATTTATCTCCTTTTGTTTTTTCTCTCAATTTCTAAAAAAAATAAATCCATGTTCGATTTGACCACGATAATAATTTTCAAACAAATGAATTAAGTTGGTTTTCGATACATTTCATAAGATGGCGATAATTGAAAGAAATTAACACCAACAATAAAATATTTAAGGTTACATACTTTCCTCTCTAGTTTTAAATTTTTTTCTCTTTTAAACGGAATGGCATGTTCTTTTTCCAGACAAACATTAACAGTTGAGTTTAATAAATTATCTTCTACGTTATAAAAATTTTTAAATGGTTCATTTTTATAATTTGTTATCAAATAAGTTTCCTCGAGTTTAGATTTATTTGCCACTCTGATAAATTTATTAAAAAAAAGTTTTATATTAATCATTAAAATAATTATTAATATATTTCAATTTGAAAAAAAAAAACAAATACTTACGTTTTTTCTTTTTTTGGAAGCTGAGGTAATTTATTATTTAAATCTGCAAAATATTAAAATAAGTATGTAGAGTTATGCATGTAAAAAAAAAAAAATTATAGAAAACGCATGCAATTTAAGAAATTATTTTGATTTAATATTAATGATCGATAACTTACCCAGACATTTTTCATTTTCTGTCGTGAAATTAAAACTTTTCCCATTATTTTCATCATTTTCACCTGTTTTATCGATGCAAAATTCAATCATTTTTAATTGTCACACAACGTTTGTACATAATTTGGAACGAATTAAAAATGAAAATGAAATTCCTTACACGTCGTCTACTGCCACGTTCTTCTTCTTTTTCGCAAATTAAATTTGATAAATTTTCATTCGTTGATAGTGTATTATAAATTTTTTATCTTATTTAGGTAGAAAAAAAATTTTATCGTAAGTATCACTAAGGATAATAATTATTTAATTAATAAATTTAATATTTATTATTAAAAATATCAAAAACATTCCCGGAGATCATTTTAAATGTGAATTTTTTTTTTTTTAGAAAATGGCTTCTGATCCAGAAAATCTTCCCAAACTTACGGGATTATCAAAACATTTTAATTCCTTTACTACTTACGGAAGGTCAAATATTGCGATGGTTACATTAGGCAGCTTAGTGGGATTAATTATATATTTCAAACTTAAACCTAGCAAGAAATAGGATAAATAATAAATCATTTTTTACTAATTAGTAGAAGCATGCTCCGCCATATTAGATTACATATAGAAATATTATTATTTCACAAAAAAAATTTTTCAAAATTCTGATTTTTCTCATAAAATCATAATAATGTATGTCAAAAAGTCAATAATTTTTTTTTTTCTTATTCTTAATTTGTTAAGTAATAATCACATATTATAATTAGTTTAGTTATTTTATTTAAAAAAAAAAAAAAAAAAAAGGAAGGTATATGTATTCGGTTTATGGTCATGATTTAATGTTATAAGACAATGTTGTAATAGTTTTAATTTATATGAAAAATAAAAATTGAATTATTATTTATTTAATGTCTAAAACTGTTTTATCATTTATGTTTTGTTATGGATGTGGTGATGAAACAAAATAAAAGTGAACAAAAACAAATAGAATTGATTTATCGATTTTATATTATTTGTGAAACTAGTAACAATATATTCCGAAAACTGTCACACAACAAAACATTGTATCATTTAAAAAACTATCAGATGCAAAATTATCCGTATCAGCATCCCAAAGACACCTTGCTCCTATTTTAACACCTGAACCTTTATTTTGACCCAATATCGTTTGTACAATTATCTTATATCTTTTAAATCCTAATCCTTTGACTGAATCTTTAACATTGGTTACTATTGTTTTCGTCCATTCTTCTGATTTATCCATTGAATACACTTTACCCCCTAGTTCTTCGTGAAGGACTGTGTGTATTAATTCTTTAACGGATAACGATTTAAATTTATCAGCTAACGTGGGACGAATTTGATATTCTGAATTCCTATCGAAACCTTCTAAATTATCGATAAAATCAGCTTCGGAAAGTTCTTCGAAAATCATCGATGATTTATTTTTATCACGTTCTAAATTTTCTTCATCGTCATCATCGTTGTTATCCATGATTTTATGCTTTTATCAATTACAATAAATTATTTTATTTCATAACTCTTTTACTGTATTTATCGACGATATTTATTACGGTAATAAATCCTTCACCATATAACTTTTTCAATAAAATAAAAAAAAATAATTTATTTACAAGTTTGTTGCCAAGTAACAAAGTAGTAGTGGTAATTACATCGTCGTGGCTTCATTTTATAATATTAAATTTTTTTTTTCCCTCTTTATGAAATTTTCAAACGAATAATAAATCAAACGATGTATGTGACTATTTAATTACTTACAATAAATTACGTAATTTTTTTTTTTAAATTATTAAATTCAAATGCCGTCGTGTTAAAATGTAAAAAAAAATTAAAAAAACTTACCTTAGTAATAAACGAACACGACGAAACACTCACGTGAACTGAACACAACAACTCGCAACTCGCCTGAAAAATTTAAGTTATACTTTTTTAAATACACTCAAGCACAAACAATTTCATAGCGTATTTTTTTTAAGGTTATCACTTATTTACATTTGAAAAAACATAAATAGAAAAAATTAATAAATTAAATTGATTAATTAATTAATTAATTAAAACGTTTACGTCACATTATCCCATTTTACCATATTAATAAAATTTTATTTAATTTTTTTATATCAGTTAAAAAGCAATTAATTGGGAAAAATAAAAATAAAAAGAAAATTTTTGAATAAAAACTTTATTTAAAAATTTTTTTATTTTTTTATTTTTTTTTTAATTTTTTTTTCATTTCTTTTTTTTTTTTTTTTTTTTTTTTTTTTTTTAATAATTTTCTTTTCTTTTCATTTTTTTTTTTTTTTTTTCATCATCTCAATATAATTTTCATACAATATATATGTTTGTAAAAAAAAGAATTTATGTATTAATATATATATATATATATATATATACAGAGTTGATTGTAAGCCACGTTATTTAGTGCTAAACCGCGCGAGCATATATATATATATACATATATATGTCTTTAAAATTTATTTAT